AAGGCAGCTCCAGCCATTGTCAGAAGCTCTAGAAGGATGTGCCTTAAAAACCAGAATACCCTCTACACCCCACTTTAACATGGAAAACTTACACACACTCAAGTTTCTTTTTCTGAATTATTATTACTATTGCTACCTGACATTTCCTGCTACCCGAAGCTCAGTTTCACCCTTATTTGTCAGCTCAAAGACAGTATCAACTGTTCTCAGTGATCCCAAGGGATACCCCACATTACGGCATTTTCTAAGTTCATCAGAACCCCCACATACTTCTGACATAAAACAATTATAGAAGAGACAAGAAAGACTTTACGGGAAGCAGAATTTCCTCTGCCTATGCTGAAGTTCCTGAAAAAATTGTATTTTACTTAACAGTATCAGTGTGAATGTATCATAGAAAATCCCCTGCTTAACAAATTGACCAGGAGACCTATGGAACAACTGACAGGACAGGGGAAGCAAAGAATCACTTGTCACACCTTATTGGGAAGTCTACAGCACCTTGTGCTCAGGAGGTGGAAATACAAACCCAGACACTGGAGACTCAAGGCAATAGGCTGATGGGAATAGAAAGACCAGACCTGGGAGCACATACTCTAAGCACGTGGGGAACTATGTCCTCTCCCACAGCTTCTCAAAGAGTACACATGGTTTGGGCAGTGTCCCAAATAAGGCAGAGGCAGCACTCTGGTATCACTTGAGGAGATTTAGGAAACTCCTGTGGTAACTGGAAATAGCAAAAGGTGAAGAGGGGTGGGGAGGGGGGTGGTGAATAAAACAAACAAACAAAAAAAATCAGAGTAGCTTGCACAACCTGAGAAGCGGAGAAACAGAGAGGAGTTAAAAAGAAGTCAACGGGTACTTAAACACAGGAAGGGATGCAGGGCAGAGCAGAGGCAGACGGGGAAGAAAGTTAAACTAAAGCAGTCAGAGTTAGAAAGCTAGCAATCCTCTTGGAAAAAGGCAAACAAACATCCCAGAAGTGAAGCAATATTGTTTGGGCCTAGAAGACTCAGTAGTTCTGAAATTGCTGCTTGGCTTATCCTCTGCTTGAAAGAATTAATGGCAAAATTCCTTTCCTCTCCCTAAGGCGAGCGATCAATCCCATTAATCCTTCGAACAATGTCTGGATGAGAAACCTTTAGTAACTCACAAGTTTGATCAAAATTAGCTCTACAGTGAGAAAAGTGATCAGGTGGGGGGAAACAAGACAAGAGGAGCACTTGTAGCAAAGGTTTCTAATTAAACATTGTACCAAAGCACAGAAACATGTCTCTGATTTAAGAGTTAAGAAGGGATCCCTGGGACATTCTACATCTTATCTTAGATCTTGTTACTTAAGTAGAACAAGGGACTTATTCACAAAAAATATCTTCCTTGGGGCCACACACAAGTTGAAACAAGAAAAGGCATACCTCAGACCATTTGCAGCTACACTATTCTACATTTCCTTATTCCCCTTCCTCAGCTCAACACAGGCTTGACCATTATTTTCATAGCTGATAAAAACCTATATATTTGGACTCTTAGAATAAGATAGATTACACACTGAGCTGTATATCAGGCCTAGGGACAAATAATGGATGTTCTATCAAATGCAGAGTTTAATCAACAAGGCCATTGAAATCTGTGATTGTGTACATACTATGTCACAGAAACATAAACGAGCCCCAAAACTCTACACACAAATCAGCTAAAACCTCTCAGGAATCACTGTTTTCCCAGAGACTGCACGATCTAGCCTAGAGGAGGATTACGTTACCATCTTCACAGCCCCATTCGGCAAGGGGCAATAAAAAGTATGCACAACTTAAAAAAATACTGCAAGGTACCCTTCACACTGCACTGCTATACCCTTTGTTTACAAATAAGGCTCCTGAAAATAAATGCATCCATTCTTGGCTTTATTTCCATGAATGACTGCAGTGGCAAAGCCCACAGAGCTGTTCCTGCGGTGGAGAAAGGATGTGGCTAAGCATATCACTTCTGGGGCCTAAGCCAACGTGTGATGGGGCTCAGAGAGTGCATGTTGTATAAAACCGACGATACAAAACAATCACTCCTGTCCACTGACTGCTTGTCATCTACTCATGTGATGTCATCACTAGGCTTCTTGATAGTCTAATAAAAGCCATTTTTGGCAACTGCTTGAAACACACACTCGTTTTGGTAA